CATCTAGAGCTGCACACGAAGACACGTCAGGAATCAAACAAGAACCAGAACTGGAAAATAATATTTATTAATGAACATGGAGGCAACAGTGATCAGAGCTGCTCACCTGCAGAGAGACAGAACCGGGTTAGAACTTGTAACAAGTCAGAGTTGGGGTTTTGGTTGGGGGTTGAGGTTGGTGTTGAGGTTGGGGTTTGGGGTTGAAGTTGGGGTTTTGGTTGAGGTTGGGGTTGGGGTTTTGGTTGGGGTTGGGGTTTTGGTTGAGGTTGGGGTTTTGGTTGAGGTTGGGGTTTGGGTTGAGGTTGGGGTTTTGGTTGAGGTTGGGGTTGAAGTTGGGGTTTTGGTTGGGGTTGGGGTTTTGGTTGAGGTTGGGGTTTGGGTTGAGGTTGGGGTTTTGGTTGAGGTTGGGGTTTGGGTTGAGGTTGGGGTTTGGTTGAGGTTGGGGTTGAAGTTGGGGTTTTGGTTGAGGTTGGGTTTTGGGTTTTGGTTGAGGTTGGGTTTTGGTTGAGGTTGGGTTTTGGTTGGGGTTTGGGTTTGGGGGTTGAGGTTGGGGTTTTGGTTGGGGTTGGGGTTGAAGTTGGGGTTTTGGTTGAGGTTGGGGTTGAAGTTGGGGTTTTGGTTGAGGTTGGGGTTTTGGTTGGGGTTGGGGGTTGAGGTTGGTGTTGAGGTTGGGGTTTGGGGTTGAGGTTGGGGTTTGGGTTGAGGTTGGGGTTTGGGTTGGGGTTTTGGTTGAGGTTGGGGTTGAAGTTGGGGTTTTGGTTGAGGTTGGGGTTTTGGTTGGGGTTGGGGGTTGAGGTTGGTGTTGAGGTTGGGGTTTGGGGTTGAGGTTGGGGTTTGGGTTAAGGTTGGGGTTTTGGTTGGGGTTGGTGTTGAGGTTGGGGTTGAAGTTGGGGTTTTGGTTGGGGTTGGGGTTTGGGGGTTTTGGTTGAAGTTGGGGTTTTGGTTGGGGTTGGGGTTGAGGTTGGGGTTGAGGTTGGGGTTTTGGTTGAGGTTGTGGTTTGGGTTGAGGTTGGGGTTTTGGTTAAGGTTGGGGTTTTGGTTGGGGTTGGTGTTTGGGGGTTTTGGTTGAGGTTGGGGTTTTGGTTGGGGTTGGTGTTGAGGTTGGGGTTGAAGTTGGGGTTTTGGTTGGGTTGGGGTTTTGGATGGGGTTAGGGTTAGCAGGGTAAGGGTTCGCTCAGTTCTGTTTCAACAGGAGTTAAACTAAAGAACCATGAATGCATCTTTGAACCAACTGAACATTCATTCAGATTCAAGGAGAGTGTTGGTGGATCTTTACTTCCAAATCAACCTGAACAGTGTCCAGAACCAGGTGTAAGGTTAGTTACCATGGTGACAGACCAGGTGAACCTTCTGAGAAGGTGCTGCTTCACAGTTCAGGTACCTGGATTTGTGTTTGTACCTCTGATAAATCCTTGGTGAAGGCCAATTCCCCACAGACCACACTCACCACCACAGGCAGACACTCTGTGGATCACTGGGTTTGGGTCAGAACCATTTGGGTCCATTTGAAAATGACTGACTTTTGCTAACCTGGGACGGGTTCTGGGGTGTCAAGTGAGAACTTGATTGAACCACAAAATCTGCTGAACAAATGAAGGTCAAAGGTCAGGAATGTTCTGAAAAATTAAGCCATTTCAACCCAGTGTTTTGTACCTGTGGTACATCTAAAAACTGCAGGACAGCGTCCGTCCAGGACTGGAGTTTGACAGTCCTGGTCTCGATGAGGGAGACGTCTCATGCTAACATGTGAACTCTAATCAGAGGAGCAGAAGCCGGTCAGTTTACTGATGGATCTGAAGGCTAGTAGAGAAACATTTAACGTGAAGGAATCAGAGCTAAAATCTGCTCATTTTACCCTCCAGCTGACCTCTGACCCTCGTTCCTCTCATGAAGCAGCAGCAGAGGGAGCATGGCGCCGCCCCCCTCTGGTCATTTAAAAGTAGACAAATAATTCATATTTTGTAAAGACTTTCCTCCATAAAATGATCTGCTGATCCCTAAAATGATCCGGTTTTATGCTGAAACCGGATCTCCGACTCCACTGAGAAAGCACTTGGTCAGGTGTGCTAATCACCTGGTTGTCGTAGTAACCAGGGAGGGAGTCCAGCTGAGGCTGCTTCTGGATGATTGCCGCTGAAAACGTTCGTTCCCATGTGAGCGGTACCGGTACCGACCAGGCCTGGGCTCAGAACCGCTGGGTGACACTGAGCTGGACCCCGAGCCGAGTCTTAAAAGGGTCGTTAGAACCCAGAATGGTTCCGACCAGGAACCCATAATGGAAACGTTTCCTGCAGAATTCTGCTCCAAATATTAGAATGAATGTTAGCTGACTTTGCTGGAAATTCCTCAAATGATGTTTTTTAAAAACTTTTTGCAGTTTAGGTAATCACTGTAATTCTAATAATAATAATCATGTTCAGTTTTAAATATAATCTGAAAAGAATGAAAGTTTTTAGGATCAAACATGAACTTTCCACATTTAATGTCTGTAGACCAAACCGGCATTTAGATATGCGCATGCAGAATCCGACATATTTTAAAATGAAATTCTTTGACCATTAAATAAAGTGTCATTTTAAACAGAGTGTCTGTTTGCTGCCAGGTCCAGTTAAAGCTCCACTCCTCGGTTCTGGTTTCCACACTGGAGTCGGAAAGGAGTCCAGAGCCCAGACGCTGCAGAACGGTGAGATCGGGACGCGTCTGTGTGTGTGTGTGAGACTGTGTGTGTGTGAGACTGTGTGTGTGTGACTGTGTGTGTGTGTGTGACTGTGTGTGTGTGACTCTGTGTGTGTGTGTGACTGTGTGTGACTCTGTGTGTGTGTGACTGTGTGTGTGTGTGTGACTGTGTGTGTGTGTGTGTGACTCTGTGTGTGTGTGTGAGACTGTGTGTGTGTGTGAGACTGTGTGTGACTGTTGTGTGTGACTCTGTGTGTGTGTGTGACTGTGTGTGTGTGACTGTGTGTGTGTGTGACTGTGTGTGTGTGACTCTGTGTGTGTGTGACTGTGTGTGTGTGTGACTGTGTGTGTGTGTGACTCTGTGTGTGTGTGTGAGACTGTGTGTGTGTGTGTGACTCTGTGTGTGTGACTGTGTGTGTGACTGTGTGTGTGTGACTCTGTGTGTGTGTGACTGTGTGTGTGTGTGACTGTGTGTGTGTGTGTGACTCTGTGTGTGTGACTGTGTGTGTGTGTGTGACTCTGTGTGTGTGTGTGACTGTGTGACTCTCTGTGTGTGTGTGAGACTCTGTGTGTGTGTGTGTGACTGTGTGTGACTGTGTGTGTGTGACTCTGTGTGTGTGTGTGTGACTCTGTGTGTGTGACTCTGTGTGTGTGACTCTGTGTGTGTGTGTGACTGTGTGTGTGTGTGACTGTGTGTGTGTGTGTGACTGTGTGTGTGTGTGTGACTCTGTGTGTGTGACTGTGTGTGTGTGTGTGTGTGGACTCTGTGTGTGTGTGTGTGTGACTGTGTGTGTGTGTGACTGTGTGTGTGTGTGTGTGTGACTCTGTGTGTGTGTGAGACTGTGTGTGTGACTGTGTGTGTGTGACTCTGTGTGTGTGTGGACTGTGTGTGTGTGACTCTGTGTGTGTGTGTGTGACTCTGTGTGTGTGTGTGACTGTGTGTGTGTGTGTGTGACTGTGTGTGTGTGTGTGACTGTGTGTGTGTGACTCTGTGTGTGTGTGTGTGTGTGAGACTGTGTGTGTGTGTGACTGTGTGTGTGTGACTGTGTGTGTGTGTGTGTGAGACTGTGTGTGACTGTGTGTGTGTGACTCTGTGTGTGTGTGACTGTGTGTGTGTGTGTGACTGTGTGTGTGTGGTGTGTGTGACTGTGTGTGTGTGTGTGTGACTGTGTGTGTGTGTGACTGTGTGTGTGTGTGTGACTGTGTGTGTGTGTGTGTGACTGTGTGTGTGTGTGTGTGTGACTGTGTGTGTGTGACTGTGTGTGTGTGTGTGTGACTCTGTGTGTGTGTGTGACTCTGTGTGTGTGTGTGTGACTCTGTGTGTGTGTGTGACTCTGTGTGTGTGTGACTGTGTGTGTGAGACTGTGTGTGTGTGACTCTGTGTGTGTGTGTGTGTGACTGTGTGTGTGTGTGACTCTGTGTGTGTGTGTGAGACTGTGTGTGTGTGACTGTGTGTGTGTGTGTGACTCTGTGTGTGTGTGACTGTGTGTGTGTGTGACTCTGTGTGTGACTGTGTGTGTGACTGTGTGTGTGTGACTCTGTGTGTGACTGTGTGTGTGTGACTGTGTGTGACTCTGTGTGTGACTGTGTGTGTGTGTGTGTGACTGTGTGTGTGTGACTGTGTGTGTGTGACTCTGTGTGTGTGACTGTGTTTGTGTATGACTGTGTGTGTGTGACTGTGTGTGTGTGTGACTCTGTGTGTGACTCTGTGTGTGTGACTGTGTGTGTGTGTGTGTGTGACTGTGTGTGTGTGACTGTGTGTGTGTGACTCTGTGTGTGACTGTGTTTGTGTATGACTGTGTGTGTGTGACTGTGTGTGTGTGTGTGTGTGTGTGACTGTGTGTGTGTGTGTGACTCTGTGTGTGTGACTGTGTGTGTGTGACTGTGTGTGTGTGACTGTGTGTGTGACTGTGTGTGTGACTCTGTGTGTGTGACTGTGTTTGTGTGTGTGACTGTGTGTGTGTGACTGTGTTTGTGTGTGACTGTGTGTGTGTGTGTGTGTGTGTGTGTGTGTGTGTGACTGTGTGTGTGTGTGTGACTGTGTGTGTGTGTGTGACTGTGTGTGTGTGTGTGTGACTCTGTGTGTGTGTGTGAGACTGTGTGTGTGTGACTCTGTGTGTGTGAGACTGTGTGTGTGTGACTCTGTGTGTGTGTGTGTGTGACTGTGTGTGTGTGACTCTGTGTGTGTGTGTGACTGTGTGTGTGTGACTCTGTGTGTGTGTGTGTGACTCTGTGTGTGTGTGTGTGACTGTGTGTGTGTGTGTGACTGTGTGTGTGTGACTGTGTGTGTGTGACTCTGTGTGTGTGTGTGAGACTGTGTGTGTGTGTGACTGTGTGTGTGTGTGACTGTGTGTGTGTCTGTGTGACTGTGTGTGTGTGTGTGTGACTGTGTGTGTGTGTGACTGTGTGTGTGTGTGACTGTGTGTGTGTGTGTGAGACTGTGTGTGTGACTGTGTGTGTGTGACTCTGTGTGTGTGTGTGTGTGACTGTGTGTGTGTGTGTGTGTGTGACTCTGTGTGTGTGACTGTGTGTGTGTGTGACTGTGTGTGTGTGTGTGTGACTGTGTGTGTGTGTGTGTGTGACTCTGTGTGTGTGTGTGAGACTGTGTGTGTGTGTGACTCTGTGTGTGTGTGTAAGACTGTGTGTGTGACTGTGTGTGTGTGACTCTGTGTGTGTGTGTGACTGTGTGTGTGTGACTCTGTGTGTGTGTGTGTGTGACTGTGTGTGTGTGTGTGTGTGTGTGTGTGTGTGTGTGTGTGTGTGTGTGTGACTGTGTGTGTGTGTGACTGTGTGTGTGTGTGACTGTGTGTGACTGTGTGTGTGTGTGACTCTGTGTGTGTGTGTGTGTGTGTGTCTGTGTGTGTGTGACTGTGTGTGTGTGTGTGACTGTGTGTGTGTGACTGTGTGTGTGTGTGTGTGTGTGTGTGTGACTGTGTGTGTGTGTGTGACTGTGTGTGTGTGTGACTGTGTGTGTGTGTGACTGTGTGTGTGTGTGTGTGTGGACTGTGTGTGTGTGACTCTGTGTGTGTGAGACTGTGTGTGTGTGACTCTGTGTGTGTGTGTGTGACTGTGTGTGTGTGACTCTGTGTGTGTGTGTGACTGTGTGTGTGTGACTGTGTGTGTGTGTGTGACTCTGTGTGTGTGTGTGTGTGTGTGTGTGTGTGTGTGTGACTCTGTGTGTGTGTGTGACTGTGTGTGTGTGTGACTCTGTGTGTGTGTGTGTGAGACTGTGTGTGTGTGACTGTGTGTGTGTGTGACTGTGTGTGACTGTGTGTGTGTGTGTGTGACTGTGTGTGTGTGTGTGTGACTGTGTGTGTGTGTGTGACTGTGTGTGTGTGTGACTGTGTGTGTGTGTGTGTGTGATCTGTGTGTGTGTGTGTGACTGTGTGTGTGTGTGTGACTGTGTGTGTGTGACTGTGTGTGTGTGTGTGTGACTGTGTGTGTGTGTGTGTGTGTGTGTGTGTGTGACTGTGTGTGTGTGTGACTGTGTGTGTGTGTGTGACTGTGTGTGTGTGTGTGTGTGTGTGTGACTGTGTGTGTGTGTGTGTGTGTGTGTGTGTGACTGTGTGTGTGTGTGGTGTGTGTGTGGTGACTGTGTGTGTGTGTGTGTGTGTGTGTGACTGTGTGTGTGTGTGACTGTGTGTGTGTGTGTGTGTGTGTGTGACTGTGTGTGTGTGTGTGTGTGTGTGTGTGTGTGTGTGTGTGTGTGTGTGTGTGTGACTGTGTGTGTGTGTGTGTGTGACTGTGTGTGTGTGTGTGTGTGTGTGTGTGACTGTGTGTGTTGTGTGTGTGGTGTGTGACTGTGTGTGTGTGTGTGTGTGACTGTGTGTGTGTGTGGACTGTGTGTGTGTGTTGTGACTGTGTGTGTGTGTGTGTGTGTGACTGTGTGTGTGTGTGTGTGTGTGTGACTGTGTGTGTGTGACTCTGTGTGTGTGTGTGACTGTGTGTGTGTGACTGTGTGTGTGTGTGTGACTCTGTGTGTGTGTGTGACTCTGTGTGTGTGTGTGACTGTGTGTGTGAGACTGTGTGTGTGTGACTCTGTGTGTGTGTGTGTGTGACTGTGTGTGTGTGACTCTGTGTGTGTGTGACTGTGTGTGTGTGTGTGACTCTGTGTGTGTGTGTGACTGTGTGTGTGTGTGACTCTGTGTGTGTGACTGTGTGTGTGACTGTGTGTGTGTGACTCTGTGTGTGACTGTGTGTGTGTGACTGTGTGTGTGACTCTGTGTGTGTGACTGTGTGTGTGACTCTGTGTGTGTGACTGTGTGTGTGTGTGTGTGTGACTGTGTGTGTGTGACTGTGTGTGTGTGACTCTGTGTGTGTGACTGTGTGTGTGTGTGACTGTGTGTGTGTGACTGTGTGTGTGTGTGTGTGTGTGACTGTGTGTGTGTGTGTGACTCTGTGTGTGTGACTGTGTGTGTGTGACTGTGTGTGTGTGTGACTGTGTGTGTGACTGTGTGTGTGACTCTGTGTGTGTGACTGTGTGTGTGTGTGTGACTGTGTTTGTGTGTGACTGTGTGTGTGTGTGTGTGTGACTGTGTGTGTGTGTGTGTGACTCTGTGTGTGTGTGTGACTGTGTGTGTGTGTGACTGTGTGTGTGTGTGTGACTCTGTGTGTGTGTGTGAGACTGTGTGTGTGACTGTGTGTGTGTGTGACTGTGTGTGTGTGACTCTGTGTGTGTGTGAGACTGTGTGTGTGACTCTGTGTGTGTGTGACTGTGTGTGTGTGACTCTGTGTGTGTGTGTGTGACTCTGTGTGTGTGTGTGTGACTGTGTGTGTGTGTGTGTGACTGTGTGTGTGTGTGTGACTGTGTGTGTGTGACTCTGTGTGTGTGTGTGAGACTGTGTGTGTGTGTGACTGTGTGTGTGTGTGACTGTGTGTGTGTGACTGTGTGTGTGTGTGTGTGACTGTGTGTGTGTGTGTGTGACTGTGTGTGTGTGTGACTGTGTGTGTGTGTGACTGTGTGTGTGTGTGTGAGACTGTGTGTGTGACTGTGTGTGTGTGACTCTGTGTGTGTGTGACTGTGTGTGTGTGTGTGACTGTGTGTGTGTGTGTGACTCTGTGTGTGACTGTGTGTGTGTGTGTGACTGTGTGTGTGTGTGTGACTGTGTGTGTGTGTGTGACTGTGTGTGTGTGTGACTGTGTGTGTGTGTGTGAGACTGTGTGTGTGACTCTCTGTGTGTGTGACTGTGTGTGTGTGTGTGACTGTGTGTGTGTGTGTGACTGTGTGTGTGTGTGACTCTGTGTGTGTGTGTGTGTGACTCTGTGTGTGTGTGTGAGACTGTGTGTGTGTGTGTGACTCTGTGTGTGTGTGTAAGACTGTGTGTGTGACTGTGTGTGTGTGACTCTGTGTGTGTGTGTGTGACTGTGTGTGTGTGACTCTGTGTGTGTGTGTGTGTGTGACTGTGTGTGTGTGTGTGTGACTGTGTGTGTGTGTGTGTGACTGTGTGTGTGTGTGACTGTGTGTGTGTGTGTGACTGTGTGTGTGTGTGACTGTGTGTGTGAGACTGTGTGTGTGTGTGACTGTGTGTGTGTGTGTGTGTGACTGTGTGTGTGTGACTGTGTGACTCTGTGTGTGTGTGACTGTGTGTGTGTGTGTGTGACTGTGTGTGTGTGACTGTGTGTGTGTGTGTGTGACTGTGTGTGTGTGTGTGTGACTGTGTGTGTGTGTGACTGTGTGTGTGTGTGACTGTGTGTGTGTGTGTGACTGTGTGTGTGTGACTGTGTGACTCTGTGTGTGTGTGACTGTGTGTGTGTGTGTGACTGTGTGTGTGTGACTGTGTGTGTGTGTGTGACTGTGTGTGTGTGACTCTGTGTGTGTGTGACTGTGTGTGTGTGACTCTGTGTGTGTGTGACTGTGTGTGTGTGTGTGAGACTGTGTGTGTGTGTGACTGTGTGTGTGTGTGTGTGTGTGTGTGTGACTGTGTGACTCTGTGTGTGTGTGTGACTCTGTGTGTGTGACTGTGTGTGTGTGACTGTGTGTGTGTGTGTGACTCTGTGTGTGTGTGTGTCTGTGTGTGTGTGACTCTGTGTGTGTGACTGTGTGTGTGTGACTCTGTGTGTGTGTGACTCTGTGTGTGTGTGTGAGACTGTGTGTGTGTGACTCTGTGTGTGTGTGTGACTGTGTGTGTGTGTGACTCTGTGTGTGTGTGACTGTGTGTGTGTGTGTGACTGTGTGTGTGTGTGTGTGACTGTGTGTGTGTGTGTGTGTGACTGTGTGTGTGTGTGACTGTGTGTGTGTGACTGTGTGTGTGTGTGTTTGACTGTGTGTGTGTGACTCTGTGTGTGTGTGTGTGTGTGTGACTGTGTGTGTGTGTGACTGTGTGTGTGTGACTGTGTGTGTGTGTGTGTGACTGTGTGTGTGTGACTCTGTGTGTGTGAGACTGTGTGTGTGTGTGACTGTGTGTGTGTGTGTGTGACTGTGTGTGTGTGTGTGTGTGTGTGTGACTCTGTGTGTGTGACTGTGTGTGTGTGTGTGAGACTGTGTGTGTGTGTGACTGTGTGTGTGTGTGTGTGTGTGACTCTGTGTGTGTGTGTGACTCTGTGTGTGTGTGTGTGACTGTGTGTGTGTGTGCTCTGTGTGTGTGTGTGTGTGACTGTGTGTGTGAGACTGTGTGTGTGTGACTCTGTGTGTGTGTGTGTGTGACTGTGTGTGTGTGTGACTCTGTGTGTGTGTGTGAGACTGTGTGTGTGTGACTGTGTGTGTGTGTGTGACTCTGTGTGTGTGTGACTGTGTGTGTGACTGTGTGTGTGTGACTGTGTGTGTGTGACTCTGTGTGTGACTGTGTGTGTGTGACTGTGTGTGTGTGACTCTGTGTGTGTGACTGTGTGTGTGTGTGTGACTGTGTGTGTGTGACTGTGTGTGTGTGTGTGACTCTGTGTGTGTGACTGTGTGTGTGTGTGACTGTGTGTGTGTGACTGTGTGTGTGTGTGTGTGTGACTGTGTGTGTGTGTGTGACTCTGTGTGTGTGACTGTGTGTGTGTGACTGTGTGTGTGTGTGACTGTGTGTGTGACTGTGTGTGTGACTCTGTGTGTGTGACTGTGTGTGTGTGTGTGTGTGACTGTGTGTGTGTGTGTGACTCTGTGTGTGTGACTGTGTGTGTGTGTGACTGTGTGTGTGTGACTGTGTGTGTGTGTGTGTGTGTGTGTGACTCTGTGTGTGTGACTGTGTGTGTGTGACTGTGTGTGTGTGTGACTGTGTGTGTGACTGTGTGTGTGACTCTGTGTGTGTGACTGTGTGTGTGTGTGTGTGTGTGACTGTGTGTGTGTGTGTGACTCTGTGTGTGTGACTGTGTGTGTGTGTGTGTGTGTGTGTGTGTGACTGTGTGTGTGTGTGACTCTGTGTGTGTGACTGTGTGTGTGTGTGACTGTGTGTGTGACTGTGTGTGTGTGTGTGTGACTGTGTGTGTGTGACTGTGTGTGTGTGACTGTGTGTGTGTGTGTGTGTGTGACTGTGTGTGTGTGTGTGTGACTCTGTGTGTGTGACTGTGTGTGTGTGACTGTGTGTGTGTGTGTGACTGTGTGTGTGACTGTGTGTGTGACTCTGTGTGTGTGACTGTGTGTGTGTGTGTGACTGTGTGTGTGTGACTGTGTGTGTGACTGTGTGTGTGTGTTACTGTGTGTGACTGTGTGTGTGTGTGACTGTGTGTGTGTGACTGTGTGTGTGTGTGTGTGTGACTGTGTGTGTGACTCTGTGTGTGTGTGACTGTGTGTGTGTGTTACTGTGTGTGACTGTGTGTGTGTGACTGTGTGTGTGTGACTGTATGTGTGTGTGTGTGTGACTGTGTGTGTGTGTTACTGTGTGTGACTGTGTGTGTGTGTGACTGTGTGTGTGTGACTGTATGTGTGTGTGTGTGTGACTGTGTGTGTGACTGTGTGTGTGTGACTGTATGTGTGTGTGTGTGACTGTGTGTGTGTGTTACTGTGTGTGACTCTGTGTGTGACTGTGTGTGTGTGATTTTGTGTGTGTGTGTGTGTGTGACTGTGTGTGTGTGACTCTGTGTGTGTGACTCTGTGTGTGTGTGTGTGTGACTGTGTGTGTGACTCTGTGTGTGTGTGACTCTGTGTGTGTGTGTGTGTGTGACTGTGTGTGTGTGACTGTGTGTGACTCTGTGTGTGTGTGACTGTGTGTGTGTGGTGTGTGACTCTGTGTGTGTGTGACTGTGTGTGACTCTGTGTCTGTGTGACTGTGTGTGTGTGTGTGTGTGGTGTGACTGTGTGTGTGTGTGTGTGTGTGACTGTGTGTGTGTGTGTGTGTGACTGTGTGTGTGTGTGTGACTGTGTGTGTGTGACTGTGTGTGACTCTGTGTGTGTGACTGTGTGTGTGTGTGTGTGTGTGACTGTGTGTGTGACTGTGTGTGTGTGACTGTGTGTGTGACTGTGTGTGTGACTGTGTGTGTGTGACTGTGTGTGTGTGTGTGACTGTGTGTGTGTGTGTGACTGTGTGTGTGTGTGACTCTGTGTGTGTGACTCTGTGTGTGTGTGACTCTGTGTGTGTGACTCTGTGTGTGTGTGACTCTGTGTGTGTGTGACTGTGTGTGTGTGTGTGACTCTGTGTGTGTGTGTGACTCTGTGTGTGACTGTGTGTGTGTGTGACTCTGTGTGTGTGACTCTGTGTGTGTGTGACTCTGTGTGTGTGTGACTGTGTGTGTGTGTGTGACTTTGTGTGTGTGTGTGACTCTGTGTGTGACTGTGTGTGTGTCTGTGTGTGTGTGACTCTGTGTGTGTGTGACTCTGTGTGTGTGTGACTGTGTGTGTGTGTGTGACTCTGTGTGTGTGACTGTGTGTGTGTGTGACTGTGTGTGTGTGTGTGTGACTGTGTGTGTGTGTGTGTGACTCTGTGTGTGTGTGAGACTGTGTGTGTGTGACTCTGTGTGTGTGTGTAAGACTGTGTGTGTGACTGTGTGTGTGTGACTGTGTGTGTGTGTGTGACTGTGTGTGTGTGTGTGTGTGACTCTGTGTGTGTGTGTGAGACTGTGTGTGTGTGTGACTTTGTGTGTGTGTGACTGTGTGTGTGACTGTGTGTGTGTGTGACTGTGTGTGATTGTGTGTGTGTGACTCTGTGTGTGTGTGTGTGACTCTGTGTGTGTGTGTGTGACTGTGTGTGTGTGACTCTGTGTGTGTGACTCTGTGTGTGTGTGTGTGTGACTGTGTGTGTGTGACTGTGTGTGTGTGTGTGACTCTGTGTGTGTGTGTGTGTGACTGTGTGTGTGTGACTGTGTGTGTGTGTGTGTGACTCTGTGTGTGTCTGTGTGTGACTGTCTGTGTGTGACTCTGTGTGTGTGTGTGTGTGTGTGTGCAGGGAAGCGTCAGATCCAGCAGCTGGGCAGTCAGCTGCAGCTCAACCAGCACTGCCTGGACACGGCCTTCAACTTCTTCAAGCTGGTGGTCAGCAAACACCTGACCAGAGGCCGGCGGACGGAGCACGTCATCGCCGCCTGCCTCTACCTGGTGTGCCGCACCGAAGGCACGCCCCGTATCCTAGCAAACAGCCACCTGCCCTCCTGTGTCTTCCAACATCTTAGTTTTTAACCTCCATATTTGAATTTTTGTTCTATTGCGATTATCCACTAATAAATGTAAGGTATGTTAAATCTTTCTGAATAAAAATTATTCTACATTTTTAATAAAAAGCAAGTGTTTTGTCTTCCTACAACTTAATTTTTTAGAATTTTGGTTAAATTTGAGATTACTCCAAATGATTAATCTCTCTTTAAATAGAACTTCAAACCTGATAGGCTCAGAAGCAACAAACAGAACGAAGGGAATTCAGAAGAATGTAAATAACAATACAATTGACTATTATAATCTAAAAAAGCAGAAAAATAAAAAGGCAATTGTACCTTTATTCTATGTAAATACATCAATAAAAATCAAGTCCTGAAAATACACTGCTCAAAAAAATGAAGGGAACACTTAAATAACATCCTAGAGCTGAATGAATGAAATAAATATGAAAATAATTTCCACCTGTTGTCTATTCCATTTGCACAACAGCAGGTGATATTGATTGTCAGTGTTGCTTTCTGAGTGGACAGTTTGATTTCACACAAGTTTGACTTACTTGGAGTTATATTGTTGTTAGAGTGTTCCCTTTATTTTTTTGAGCAGTATATTTCTAAATATAAAAATTCTCTTCCTCTGTAAAGAAAAACAGAAGAAATGAATAACAATATTTTTATTGGATTTCCTTCCCTGGAAGTCGAGTCAGCAGCTCCAGAAAAAGCAGAACCCGTTCAGACTTGAAGGAATCGTTCAATAAGTGAACCGGTTTTGATTCGACCCGTTTCTTTCCTGAACCGGGACCCAGACATGCTACTGGACCTGAGCGACCTGCTGCAGGTAAGAGCAACATGGAGCAGCCACCTGCAGCATGTCAGCTCTGGACCAATCACAGAGCGTCTCTGAGCTCTGGACCAATCACAGTGTGTTCTCTGTGTCCAGGTGAACGTCTACATCCTGGGGAAGACCTTCCTGCTGCTGGCCCGGGAGCTGTGCATCAACGCGCCCGCCATCGGTGAGACTTCCTGTCGTGAGTCACCTGTAACGTCAAATTTAGCTAAAACGGACAGAATGACATTTCCCAGCATGCTCTCTGCTGAAGAAAAGTGTATCTACAGTGACCTCTGGTGGTGGCTGCAGGAAACTACATCAGATAAAAACAAACGCTGCAGTTTCAGTCACACAAACTTTAATGATTGAAACACCTCAACCAATCAGAACCAGAACCGCTAATGCTATCAGAACTGTAGCTGATGCTATCAGAACTGTAGCTAACGCTATTATAACTGTAACTAACGCTATCAGAACTGTAGCTAATGCTATCAGAAGGCTGAGAACTGCAGCTAACGCTATCAGAACTGTAGCTAACGCTATCAGAACTGTAGTTAACGCTATCAGAACTGTAGCTAATGCTATCAGAAGGCTATCAGAACTGCAGCTAACGCTATCAGATCTGCAGCTAACGCTATCAGAACTGTAGCTAACGCTATCAGAAATGTAGCTAATGCTATCAGAACTGTAGCTAACGCTATCAGAACTGTAGCTAACGTGATCAGAACTGTAGCTAATGCTATCAGAACTGTAGCTAACGCTATCAGAACTGTAGCTAACGCTATCAGAACTGTAGCTAATGCTATCAGAACTGTAGCTAATGCTATCAGAAGGCTATCAGAACTGCAGCTAACGCTATCAGATCTGCAGCTAACGCTATCAGAACTGTAGCTAACGCTATCAGAACTGTAGCTAACGTGATCAGAACTGTAGCTAATGCTATCAGAACTGTAGCGAACGCTATCAGAACTGTAGCGAACGCTATCAGAACTGTAGCTAATGCTATCAGAACTGTAGCTAACGCTATCAGAACTGTAGCTAACGCTATCAGAACTGTAGCTAATGCTATCAGAACTGTAGCTAACGCTATCAGAACTGTAGCTAACATGATCAGAACTGTAGCTAATGCTATCAGAACTGTAGCTAACGCTATCAGAACTGTAGCTAACGCTATCAGAACTGTAGCTAATGCTATCAGAACTGTAGCTAACGCTATCAGAACTGTAGCTAACGCTATCAGAACTGTAGCTAATGCTATCAGAAATGTAGCTAATGCTATCAGAACTGTAGCTAACGTGATCAGAACTGTAGCTAACGTGATCAGAACCAGACTGTCCCGCCTGGATTGAGGCCTTTCAGGTCCAGCTTCAGCAGTAAAAGATCAGTTCTGGGATCTGCCCCCCCTGCACTCCGGTACCGTTGGTGCTGTCTGAGGAGCACTGGAACTGGAAGGTCACCTTCCCACACTGCACCTCTGTCATTCCCTCCTGTCCAAAGTAGCTGAGCTCGTTCCCATCCAGGACGGCGCTGACCGTGTAGAAGGTGTCCTGCTCTACCTGGACAGGGTGTTCGAACCAGACGGGGAAGGTGCTGCTCGACCCGTCTGATAGAAACTTGGTCAGGTTCTGGGCGAGAAGGGTTCCCTGTCGCTTCAACTCGATCCTCACGCTGTACTCGGCCTTCCCACCGCTCGACCCGTACAGGCCCAGCCCGGCCATGAAGATCCTGCGGTCCACGGCGAACTGGATGCTGTCGCAGCGCCCCCTGTAGCGCCACTGGTTGCTGCGATAGGCGGACGCCTGGAAGCGGTGGCACCGCTGCGGCGCCAGGCCGACCCGTTTTTCCCACAGGGAAGTCCAGTTGGGGTTTGTTGGTAGCGGTGTACCACAGGAAGATGTTGTGGGTCTCCGCCAGCGTCAGAACCTCCGACTGTGCGGGTCCATCTGCAAACTCCTGCAGAGACATGGAGGGGACCCGGAGCAGGTACAGAGCCTTCCCGAGCGCGGTCCGCTGGTTCCGAGGGGTCACCGCCAGTCCCTGGCGCTGGCACTCTGCCGCCGCCCAGCTCAGCGCCGCCTGGAACACCGCCGCCTCGCGGATGTTGAGTGTCTCCCTCTGCAGGACGATCTCCAGCGTGGGCCGGTCGATCTCACAGAACCCTTCAGAGCGCAGCGCCAGCTCGGCCTGCGCGTCGATCACCTCCCAGCAGCGCTCCGTAAGCTCCGCCTCCTCAAACAGCCGACTCTGGGACAGCAGCACGCAGGCGTTCTTGGCCTCCAGGCTCGTCTCCAGGAAGCCCACGCACGCTTTTGCCACAGCCGGGACGATGTACTTCTTGGCGGCGTAGAGCGTGGCCAGAACCGTGTCGGCATCCAGCTCCACCTCGTCACTGTACATGTACCTGAGACACAGGACGGGACATTAAAGACCTCTGACCCAGATCCACTCTGGACCAGAACCCTGAAGAAGGTTCCGGATCAGAAGCTCCTGGGTTCTGCTGGTTTCTAGTGAAGACACCACATCTTCTGATTGGTACGAGATCCGTCACAGGAAGCAACTAGACCTCTCTGAACCGGTCTGAATAGGTCCAGTCCAGTCTGAACCCGTCTGAGTCAGACTTAGTGAGTCAACTCGGTCCGTACCCACTGTGAATAGATTTACATCAGCTTGAATGGGTCAGAACCGCAGTGAACAATGTCTGTCTGGGCCTGACTTTGATCTACAGCATTCTGAACCAAACCCGGAGCAGGTACAGAGTTCTGGTGGTTCTGTGGTGGTTCTGGAACCATGTCTGGACTCACTTCAACAGGGTGAGGAAAGCAGCCGGTTCCACGTCTGGGATGTGGATCTCCGACTGCCCTTCCGCCAGATCTCCATAGAACATGGCCCCAAACACGGAGCTGCCGACCGCCAGGACGTACTGGAACACAGTCAGGAAATGGGTCGGAACCAGCCGGCAGAATCACATCGAGAGCACAGGATCGCTCCAGGCCAGGTTCTGTACCTTGTGCGCCGGGACCGTCTGCGTTTCTCCAGGCGGACCCACGATGAAGTGGATGTCGGCCATGTGCTCGTTGTTGAACATCAGAGCGTTCCTGCAAACAAACAGGAACCAGCTGGTGTCAGCAGGGGGCGCTGTGGCGCCTGTCCAGGTTGTTCAAGACTTCATAGTGGTGGCGTCTGACCCGGTTGGACCTGGTTCACACTGAAAGTCATTTATGGTTCTGAACCGGTCCAAACTGGGACCAGAACCTGAATAACCTGAAACATGGCACAGGAAGTGGTGAAGCCCCGCCCACACCGCCATGTTGTCGTTTACCTCTCCCTCAGGGTGGGGTGGGCGCCCTGCCAGCTGAGTCTCTCATCATCATCGTCGTCATCATCGTCGTCGATGCCGACGGTGTTTCGCTGGGCGGATTCCTCGGGTTCACTCAGCTGGACGAAGTTCTTCTTCGTCTCCTCCTCTTCCTCGTCCTCGCCGTGAGGAAGGCTGGTGGAGAAAAGCTCCTCTGCCATCTCCTCCTCTTCCTCCCATCAAAACATGGCCGCTTCCTGTCTGGGTCAGAGGGATTATAATCCAGATTATCCAAACAGCTGGGAGCACAAAGAGCCTAAACCAATCCAGTCCCTAATTTACCTTTCACAATAAAAGCTCACATCCAGTCCATGTTTGATCTGCTGTTGGTAGATTGATGCAGTCAACAGTTTTCAGCTTTGCTTCATGTCCCCAATCATCTCTGATGCTTTATTTCTAAACATGAAGCTGTTGGAAATCTACCTCCAGCAGATCAAACATGAACCGGATGTGAGCTTTTATTGTGAAAGCAGCTGGTAAACGGGGTTACCGTAACGTCTTGAGCTGTGTGCAAGAGAATATTGTGTGCAGGGCGAAGAGGCGGCTGGTTTACCTCAGTTTAACCATGAAGACTATTTTCAGCACACGCATGTAGCATTTTCATTAGCAATGTTTCATGTAGCATAAGAGCAGCTAACAGATCCATCACCATCTAAGAGTTTAAATGCTGCAAAACACAGTATTTTACAAGAACAGTAATCAAACTACCACTTATTATACTTAACATACATTTATTGAACACAGAAACAAACTTCATATCTTCTGCCACAGAATCCGAACAGAATCTGAACAGAATTTGACAGCGATCCAGAAACCGAACCTGCAGCTCATGAAGCTTCGATCCGTTCATTTCAAACCTGAACTCTGTTCAACAGTCAAGATAATAATTCACATTTTCATTCAATTTGATAAAAAGAATCATTTTGAAACAGGAAGTTAGCTGCTGTTTTGCAATGGATCTGTCGTCTTTTCAAAATAAAAGCCGCCGCTGCTGATATGATTTCCTACCGGAAGAGCTTCTAGTGTATGACGTCACACTGCTGGCTCCCTACTCTTGGGGCCCCTGTGCAGTGGGGCCCCTCAGCAGCCGCTTAACTCGCACATGCCTTCGGCCGGCCCTGCGCGGTCCACTTTGGGAATCTGGACCGGACTGACGGAAGATTCTCGAGAACCGAGCCTGAAGGTCCTGCAGGTTCGATCCGAACAGCAGATCCTGATTATCGATCCTGTTGTTTGGATCGAACCTGGAGATCCAGTCTGGGTTCGGCTGTCATCTTGGATCGGAACCACGCAGCACCTTTCCGTTTGATCCCGAACTGACGGGCCCTGCAGACACCCGGTCTGGTTCTGAGCACAGAACCAAACCCGTCCGGTTCTGTGCTCAGCTCATCTGTGTGTGCTACCTTTGGACCCGCCTCGGTTCGGTCCGGATTAAAGCCCGTCCTCGCGCTGCTGTCCGCCTCCCGCCGCCATCTTGGGTCCAGTTTGTTTTGCTGAGCTTCTCCACCAGGGGGAGCCATGAGCCGCAGCGGCTCTGGTTCTGACCCAGAACGCAGTGGATGAGGTTCTGGTTCTGATCCGGTCTGGAAATGAGCCGTTGGAGAATCTGCTCTGCTGAAACAGTTTAACAGCAAACCACGGCGGCCATCTTGAAAAAGATATGAATAAACACGGTTTCATCTGGAAATTGTCAGACATGTAAACATTCGAGCCAAGTCAGGTTCTGATGGGGTTGGTGTACTGCATACCTGAAGGGGCGGAGCCTGCAGTGCCTGACCCCTGACCCCTGCCCTCCCCGCAGACCCCTGCCTGTACATCCCTCGCTTCGCTCACATGCTGGAGTTTGGAGACAAGAACCACGAGGTTTCCATGACGGCGCTGCGCCTGGTGCAGAGGATGAAGAGAGACTGGATGCACACGGGCCGCCGACCGTCCGGCCTGTGTGGAGCAGGTGAGGTTGTCGCCATGGCAACAGCAGCATCCATGCAGCTCATGACATCACCCCCCCTCTCCTGTCCCCCCCCCCCTCCTGTCCTTCTCCCCCTCCTGTCCCCCCCCCCTCCTGTCCTTCCCCTCTCCTGTCCCCCTCCCCCTCCTGTCCCCCCCCCCTCCTGTCCCCCCCCTCCTGTCCCCCCCCCCTCTCCTGTCCCCCCCCCCCCTCCTGTCCCCCCCCCTCCTGTCCCCCACCCCTCCTCCTGTCCCCCCCCCTCCTGTCCCCCCCCCCTCTCCTGTCCTCCCCCCCAGCTCTCCTGGTTGCGGCGCGGATGCACAAGTTTCGGCGCTCGGTGAAGGACGTAATCGGCGTGGTGAAGGTGTGCCAGACCACTCTGAGGAAGAGGTGAGTGAGATCCCAGTGGATCCGTAGATGAAGCAGATCGACGACATCACAGAGGAATCATCCTTATGATTCCAAGCTAACATTAAAGAAATTAACATTCCCACGAGTTCAGTCTCTAGATCCTGGATCTGGATTTACCAGGATCACAGGGATCGACAGGACTGATCCCAATTGGCTCCATAAGATCCCAGTCAGGAGATCTAATATATAGATGTTTATAGATATAAGAAGATGCAGGTGGAATCTAGTCCATGTACCAGTCAGTTGATCCCACCAGATCCCATCAGATCCCTCCTTCTGTCCCTGCAGGCTCACAGAGTTTGAGGACACGCCCACCAGTCAGCTGACCATCGATGAGTTCATGCGGGTGGATCTGGAGCAGGAATGTGATCCGCCGTCCTTCACTGCCGGCCAGCACAAGGTCAAGATGCAGCAGGTAGATCTCCTGGCCTCCGATTGGCCGGCTCACCAAATATCAAAGCGATGAATGTTCTTTACAGCAGGTTGTTTCTGAGCATGCTCAGTTTGGACCTGTTCAAACACTGAAGTGGATTTAACATCTTCTTCTGCAGTTGGAGCAGGAGCTGGCCCGGAAGCTGGACGAGGTCGAAGGTCAGGCCGGGAATCGTCAGGAAACCTGAACCGGGTTGAGCGGGAGCAGCCGCTGATCCGACTCTGTCTGCTTTGGTTCCGCCAGGAGAAATCAGCTGCTACAAGGAGGAGATCGAGACGGAGCTGGAAAAGAGCCGGCCCAAACTCAGGGGGATCTACGCCGCCTACGCCAAGGAAATGGGTCCGTCCAGAACCACAGCAGGTCCAATTCAAACCAGGTCACACATAAGCACAACTCCAGCAGAACCAGAACCAGCTGCAGAGTGGGAGAGCGGAAACCAGATGGATATTCAGGCTCCATCCGCTCTGGTTCTGTTTTATTAAAACTGCGTAGAGACAGAAGGACGAAGCGGACGTTGAGAGCGACGGCGACGTCCGGGTCGTTCACCGATAAATCTGGTTTCAGATCCGGAGGACGAGGACGTCCTGTCCTCTCCGTCCGACCCGGAGGACAAGGAGGGGGACGACGCCGACCTGCGGGCCGCCGCCCAGCGGCTGACGCAGGACTTCCTGTGTCAGGTTATCCGGGAGGAGGAGGGGGGGGGGCGCCACAGGAAGTGGAAACGGAGGGGGGCGGGCTCCCGGCCCACGGCGCCCCTCTGGCCTCCATCCTGGGGAACGCCAGCCTGGGCCTCCAGGAGACCTTTCACACCTCCGGTCCTCCGGAACCGGACCAGAACCCAGACGGTACAAACCAATCAGGAACTGTTCCACCACCATGTGGTATTACATCATCCACTGACAGTTATGACGTCATTAGAAAACCACAAAGTCACCGTGTTAACAGACTAGTAACTAGTTAAATCATTAATCACCATGGTTACATGTTTTCTAGAGGATCCGAGCGGAGATCTGGACCTGGAAGGAATCGACGATCAGGAGATCGAAAAGGTGAGCGCCCGGTTCCGGTCAGAGGCGTGCTGATTGGCTGCCACCAGGCCGGCCGGTCTCTGATTGGCTGCTGGGTTTTGCTGCAGTACATCCTGAACGAGAAGGAGGTGGAGGTGAAGACGGAGCTTTGGACCAAGCAGAACGCAGACTACCTGAAGGAGCAGAAGGGTGAGGAGCTGTCAACACGGAGGATGCTGATTGGCTGATTAAACACGGACGATCCTGATTGGCTGCTTGTGTCCACAGAAAAGGAGGAGAGGATCACCAAGGAGAAGGAGCAGGGGACCTACAAGGAGAAGGTTGGACACAGGGTCTACTAGTCTGCATGCCAGGGACCGCCTACCTGCTCTGACCTCTGACCTTTCCCCGTCTGCAGAAGAAGAAATACAAGAAGCGTGAGCAGATCGAGGCGGCCACAGCGGGCGAGGCCATCGAGAAGATGCTGGAGAGGAAGAAGATCTCCAGTAAGATCAACTACGACGTCCTGAGAGACCTGAACCAGCCGGCAGGAAGTCCCGCCACCGAGCCCCCAGGGGGCGCCGACGTCGTCCCGCGCAAACGCCTGAGCCGCCGCCGCAGGAAGGGCGGCGACGCCAACGCGGAGCTGTCCGCCAGCGCCAACATGATGACCAAGAGGTACCAGACCCGAGCAATCGATCACCTGATCGGTGATCAGAGCTCAACTTCCTGCTTCCTGTTCCAGGTTCCGGCGCCTCATTTCCTCAACACCACGGAAAAAGAAAACCTCTCTGCAGGTAAACCCCGGATGACCGGACCGGACCGGACCGGGAAACCCTGAGTCCGTCAGTTCTCCCTGACTCCATTTTGTTTCATCAACTTCAGGTGGAAACAGCAGTTGTCATGGAAACGGCACCAGAGGCCGTACCTGAAGCTCCTCCTCCTGCAGGCCCCGCCCCCGCCGAAGCCCCGCCCCCTGTGGAGACGGAGGAGGAGGAGGAGGAGGCAGAGGAAGACTGCGTCAGCGCACTGCAGCTGGTTGGAGGTCGGTACGCAACTTTCCCTGACCCATCAGAACCAGAACCAGAACCAACCAATGCATCCATGTTTTCCAGATTACGGCTGTGAGGAAGAGGAAGTGTTTTAGCTCCGCCCACCCTGAACAAACTCCGTCCAGCCAATCAGAGGCCAGCAGGTCAATCAGCTGAACCAGAACTTTTCACTGCGAGGCGACTCGGACCGACCCGGAACCGGCAGAACCAGCGTGTGACAGGAAGTATGTGAGAGAGAGGAAGTGTGTGTCGCTGTACTTTGATGATGTCATGTCCGACCCGAACAGAATCATGACTCGGCAGAAACATTCCGTAATAAATGGACTGGAAGCCCAGTCGGTTCTGGTTCTGCTCAGTTTCATTCCTCCAGGACGGATTGGACCCACAGGCCTGGTTCAGAACCGGGATCCCTTCTCTGCAGGTCCAGACTTGGTTCTGTCTTTCTGTGGAACCGCCGGTCCAACGGGTCAGAACCAATCCAGGTTTTATTAACTCTTTATTTCAGAACATCCCGGCCCGGTTCTGTCAGAAAGTTCTGAGCTCAAAACAAAACCAGAACCAAACAAACAGGAAATAAACTAATAACAATAATCAGAATAAACTCCCAGCATCGTCTCCATCACTTCGCTCTTGGTTCCGGTCCGGTCCTGGTTCCGGTCCGGTCCGACGGATCGTTTCTCCTGTTCTCAGCTGCAGCGCCCCCTGCTGGCCCGGTTGGACCTACGCGCTCTGGACCCGGTTCTGCTGACCTGGAACCAGAACAGGGATCACCAGTCAGCCAATCACAGCTGGGCGTCTTCAGAACCAGGTTCTGGACGTTCTGAAGACCCAAAACTATTTAGTCAGGTCCAAACTGAGCAGAACCTGGTTCTGGTTCAGCTGAAACCAATGAGGTACCAACAGAACCAGAACCTGGACCCAGAACTCACTGGTTTCTTCAATAGGTCAGAAGTTCTAGTGGACCCATCTCGGTTCTGAAGCTACCTGCGTTCAGCTCGGTGGTTCTGATCCGACTCTCCTCCAGCGAAGAAAAACCCGCTTCTCCGGTGGTTCCGGCGTCGCAGGTCAGAACCCGGATCGGACCCGTCCCGCCCTTCAAGTGGATCTGGATGCTGTCCTGGATCAGAACAGAACCTCAGTTTGATTGGGACCCGACCCGACCCGACCGTTCTGCGGTTCTGCTCACCTCGGTGGGAGCCGGAACCTCCAGCTTGGTTTCCTCTGGCGCCTTCACCACCAGAACCGTCTGGTTCTGGAGGTTCTGCATCCCGACCAGGTCCTGCCGGGTCACGTAGGCCAGCCTGGACCGGACCGCCGTCAAGGAAAACCGGTACCGATCCAAAGGCAGAGGGACGGGTTCTGAGCCTGGACCAGTTCTGCTAAAGGTCCAACAGTGTGACCAGAACCATAACCCTGGAGACGGCGGAGCGTCCAGAACCGATTGCAGCAGTGTTCTGGTCCGGTTCTGATCCGAGGATCCTGCTCACCGTTACTGGTCCCTTCATGTTGTGAATATTAGAGCCAAGAATCAAAATCATTTTAATTTAAGAACAAAACAGGAACCAGACTGAACTCCGGTCCGGAACCGACCAGAACCCATCAGAACCTGTAGAAACCATCAGCAGAAACTCGGAACCGGACCGAACCGGAAGGATATCTGGAGTTGTGCGGGTCGTCGGTCAGGTGGAAGAGCTGCTCGGCGCTGGTCCGGATCAGAGAGTCCAGGGTTTCCTCCACCAGCTTCAGGTCGGCCATGTTGGACCCCGGTTCTGACCCAGGTAGCTGGAGGCGGGGCTGCTTCCTCTGCACACAACATACTGGTGTCACTGGAGATACTGGGAGAAACGGAGGTTCTGGTCGCGTTAGTGGTCCGAAATACACAGCAAACAAACCGGACCTCTGACTTCCCACAAGACCATCAGAACAAATGGTTCTGTTCGGTCAGGAAGGAGGAACCGAATCCGACCCGGAGGTCCAGATTCATTGGACCCGACCAGAACCACTCACAGACAGGAAGCCAGGAAACCGGATTCTTCTGGGTTTGGACCGGTGTTCTGACAATCTGAGCTACCTCATCAGATTTTCCTACCATAGCACAGACAGATGGCCGTCGGTCCGTGCTACCCGTCCAAAACTGCTCCCGTCAATATTCTGCAGATCAATACGAGTTCTGATTGTTTATATCCATGATCAAACCCCTGGAATGAAGCGGCTCCAGGACCTCCTGCTGTGGATCGGTTCTCCAGAACCTTAACGACCCAATAGTCTGTCCAGGTGCAGCAGAGCCTCATCTCAAGGTTTCGGGGCCCTGGGCCCCAGGACCAGAGTTTGACCCCCTGCCCTGGAAGTGGCACTAATCCTTTAAAATATTTGAAATACAGAATGTTTGTGGGATTGAAACTGTATCAGTGGAAAAACCTGAACTTATTGAAATGAAACTAAACACAGACAGAGCAACTCTGTATGCACATTAATACTTTATATGTCTGTTATCAGCAGCCACCGAACTGAGCACATCAATGATCAATATTCACTAATATCACAGCTTCAATCCCACATACGATCACTAACATCTATTTAGCAAAGTTTAATCATAAAAGAGACTAATTCAACTGAAATATTTTAAAATATAGGGACAAAATAGCTACAAAACAACATATTTAGTCCTGATTAACAACCAAATAATAACTTGTTTACAGTAGTAACGACTTTTCAGACGACAAACTGAAGGCATAAATATATTTATAAGCTGCTGTCATGTAAACTAAAAACATGAAATAATCCAGCATCTTAATGAAAGCCTAAATAAATTCAATAACGATTACCGTAATCTGCGATGGAATAAATACATGCAACGAAACTTCCACAGGTAGGATGGATTTATGGGTAGCACAGATAAACAGAACAACGGAACCAAGTGACTCCGAATTTAATTCATAGTTCCCAAACAAGAAGTGATCCGCCATCTTGGTAGGCAGCACAGAGCGTAGCATAGCCATAGCACGGCTTCCAGAACAACAGAAAATATGCAACATTTCAGACAACGAGGAGAAAAATACATGAACAAAATGGCTGCCGCTGGATCAACGAAATGCAGCAGACAATGTGGACCAGCTGTCGTATCTGCTGCTATGATAAAGTTAGCTAGCCAGTGAAGAAGGACGAGTGCAACATGGAGGAGCTTCACCTGGAACCGCAGGCGACACGATCCAAGTTTCAACAGATTCATGAAGAATCCGAATCATAAAATCTGAACTCTGCAGCCGATAACCAGGTTCAGGTGACGTGTAGCAACAGCTAGGCTACACACTCTGAGGCAGAAGATAAATTAGCTAAGCTAGTAAAGAACAGCAGCAAATATCTGATGTTTATCTTTGTAAACATATTTTACACAGATACTCAAACTGACAGTCAGGATGAAACGTCGTGAAGTTCGCCCTCCTGCTGAGTCTGTGGCTAACCCTACCAAGATGGCTGTCAGCAACAAAGTTCCTGTCTCTCCACATGAGAGCGGCAGACCCGGAACCGGATCACTCACATCCAGCGATCCGGTTGACGGACTCCTTCTGGACGAGCCGGACGCCCTGCAGCACGGTTGGTGATGTCATAGACGCGGCGGCGGCGCGTTCTCAGGCTGGCGATGGCGCTGCGCAGGTCCAGGCAGCCGTCCGACGCCGTCAGGAACAGGTCCAGGAACCGCCGGGTCAGAACCAGCAGAGAAACGTCTGGGGACGACACGGCCCGGTTAGAGACTCGAGAACCGCACGGACGCCGTTGCCACTCGACAGAACCGACCTTCCCGGGTCCGAATCGGCCCGTTCTGCTGTTGCTGGCTGTGGGGAGACACGAGTCAATACAGGCCCGGAAACTTCTGACAGAACCACAGTGGAACCGGATCAGAACCGCTTACCTGAGAGTCGGACCTGCTGGCACCGCTTGGAGAGCTTGGTTCTGCAGGTGGGAACAGAACAACAGTTATCCCTTCAACTGATTCTGATCCAGCAGAACCGGGTCGGTCGGCTCAGTAAAGGTTCTGACCTGTTCTGTTGGGTCCAGAGCAGGAAGTTCTGGAGCAGCTATCTTGGTGTTAAAGGGAAGGCAGCCTTCACCTCCTCTTCCTCACCTGGCCCGGCGGTTCCGACCCACTGGTCCTCGTCGTTCTCCGACCCGGTTCCCCACCGGTCCAATGGGTCCAGCGGGCCGTCCAGGCAGGGAGGCATGATGGGAATGGCGTCTGCGCTGACGTCACCTGACGAGATGTCCTCCGGCAGGAAGTGGTCCTCACAGATCAGGTTCTGGTTCTGGTTCTGCTGGTCCGCCTGCCGCAGTGCCGCCAGCCATACCTGGAAGGATCCAGCGACCCGTTTAGAACCCAACCAGAACCAGCTTTGGCTCTCTGGAGCTGATTCATTCTTTGTCAGGTCAGTCCTGATTGGTTCTTTCTGGGTTCAGAGGTCAAAGGTCACGTGGTTCCCAGTGAAGACCCAAAACGGCACCGGAGAACCGAACAAAACATTTCGTCCAAGTCCAGTTGAACATGTGATATTCCAACAGAGCGGAACCAGAACCTGACCTGAACCTCCGGAACCTTCTGGACCTGATGAACCGGTTCCACTGCGGTCCGCTCCGGGTCTTTGTGCAACTTCAGTAAGTCACTAACTGGACCGAACCGGACCAGAACTTCTAAATTCCGGTACCAGTATGAAACTGGACCTACCTTGACCCTCGCTGGATCTCGCGGGAACTTGAAGAACCGTTTCTGGGTTCTGTTGAACACTCCGTGATTGGACCCGTCCACTCGGTTCGGACAGCTCGAGACCACACACTTCACCATACTGACCGACCGAACCGAGCCGCGCTGGACCGCCTGTTCATTCAGCGGCCACGGTTCGACACCGCAGTTCTGCTGGAGTCACCGCGGTCCGGTTTGTTTTTTACCCACCGGAAGGGGATTTGTTCTCACCCCGGAAGTGGTTCCGTGGCCCCTGGTGGCGCCCTCTGCTGTCCTGGAGGAAATTCACCACCTTCAGTTTGTTGATCTGTGGTTCCTCTCCCTCCTTCAGAGTTCTGGTTATAGACAGAAATACATTTATAAGCTTATTTCTGTCTTTGGTTCTGTGAGTATGGTGTTTTTTTCAGCCAACAGTGAGACCGCAGCGGCTGTGTAACGCCACCCTGTCGGCCATCTTGGGAGAGGAACTGGAAGCTGGACTGCATGTTCATGGGGGTCAGGAACAAAAAGTGGTTTATAGATTATGTTTCGCACACAAACTATGTTTTTCACATAGCAAATTCTTTCTCTTTTTTATCTGCAGCCATTTTTTGACTCCAGGAAGTTGAGCAGAAAATGATTTGACCCCAATGAGATGGTTGATTTAACCCTTGTGGGTCAAAGGTGACCCATCACCATGTTTAGCTCTAGAAAAAATACCCTAAATTGTCTTTTTCTAACTTAAATTTTATGACTTTTCCTAAATTGACCCTGTCATTATGAAAAGTGATACTTTGTTGATATTTCCATGTGGGCCGAACAGCACCAGGGTACAAGGATTTTTTAGTGGCTCATTTTGGACCTGTGCATTATAAAAGCATTTAAACACCAGAAAAAGGGTTGAAAGGCCACACACAAACTCTCTCTAATAAACAAACTCACACATATCAAAGACCCGCATCCAGGTATTTGACCTGCACCTGCCCTCTCAATCTGAAGCTCACATCACATCAAGCTCCCAAACACAACAGAAAAAAATGTCAGACATGATAAAAACTCATTAACTATATGAAGGAAATCTGAGAACCACTAGAGGGTTTCTTGCTGAAGCCATGAGTCGACGTTTCATGTTTGGACAAACTGACCTACATGGGATTTTCAGCATAAGAAGCTGAACATCTTATGTTGAATAAATTGTTGTGCTGAAGATGTTTAATCTAGGAGCGTCTTCATATGGTGAACATCTTCATGCAATGAAGATTTTCTTGAACAATTTGTGTTGAACATTTTGTGTTCAATGTGGTGTGGGAGGGACAGGATGTTCTTCATTTTGTGTTGAGGATGCTGAAGATGGTGAGGATGTTGAGGATGTTCAGCAAAAGAAAATCTTTGTGAGATGAACATCATCTTCTGAAGATGTTCTTGTGTTGAAAATCTCTGATATTAAATTGTTCACAAAATCAGGCAACATTTTTGTTTTGTTTACATATTTTTATAAATCACTTCCTAAAAGAATGTAAAAGAATGAATCGTTTACTAAAAAGCTCCAAATTGTTGAGTTTTTGTTCGGTTTCAGTCTAATTAATTCACAAGTAATAACTTCACATTTATATTATTACAATAATAAACCTTTACTGTATAAACGTAAACTGCTACAAACTTGGTTTGTGGTAAAATATAAAAAATGTGTTTTAGCATTGATTGTCTCTTTGTATTGTGTAACAAAAAGACATAATAAGAAATGAATCACATTGAGTTGAACTGATGAATATCAGATCATTTCATCATGAAGAATAGATTTTGAATAAAATCTAATTAATTTGCTTTGTTTTGGGGCTTTTGTTGTCATTTTTGATCTGTAGGACAAACATTTAGAATCGCATGAAGGTTGATCAAAGATGAAAGATTCACACAATGTATGACATGTATTTTTAGACAAATGTCTGGGACTAAATGTCTTTTATTCTGTAAAGGAGGAAATAATACACACTAGGTAAATTACATTATGTGAAATAATGTACATTAGTTCTCAAAATTAAACACATCCTTGATAAAATCCCAAATTTTGAGATTTAAAATATTAAGATCTAGATTGTGATGAATTATTTTAAAGCTAATTTCCAACGCAAATAATAGTTTGATTGCCTCAGTATCAGCATCTTTAAACTAGTATTTAGATGAAAAACACTGATCCAATTTTCTTTGATAATTCAATTAAAAATCTTATGAACTCTGGTTACTGATCTGCTATAGAGGTCAGTATCTCAGTGACTTTGAAAACCCCTCTGACTGAAGACTGTTATTGTGATGAAGATCCAACTGCCTGATGCTGTCAGACTCCAAACGTCTCAGGAACGTTTCAGACACCTTCCATCTACGTTGAGTAAAAACAAAGTGGGTTCTGGGGGTAAACGGGTCCGACCCGGTACCAGCAAGGCGTACCTAATGAAATGACCAACTTTGGACCTTCTGAGGACAAACCTGTGATGATTCAGATCCCAGAGCAGAAGCTTCCTCATGTGGTACAAACACATTAAACCTTCAATCACCTTCAGTAAAGTCATGTGGAAGGAAAACCTGCAGCTGTTCAGGAAGGTCAACAAAGGCTCTTTACAGGTGTTGCAACACAGGATTTATTCAGAGCAACAGATGGCAACACCAACATGATAAAAACTGTACAAACTCCACAATTCAACAGAAATGGAACCTGCTGACCTTGAAGGTGTCAGCAGGGAGTCATGCTGTCTGGTAGGAAAAAAGCTTCTGGAAGTCTGACATGAAGAAAGAAATCAAAGATATAAAAAGATCATTTCAGGTGAGGTTCTTCATTCAGGCTCTTCACATCTTTAAATTGTGCTTTAACTCCTCCGTTCTGCAGGAAAACCAAAGCAGGAAGCCGCAGATCCGTTTCCTTCAGGAAAACTCCTCCTGTATCCGACGGATCCGGCTCCAGGCTGACCGGGAATAATAATCCCAGCCGAGGTTCCTTCTGCTGGAAATGTTTAATCCTGGAAACGCATCCAAGAAATCCCAATCATGGATTATTGTTTTTCTCATGAAACCGACCAGATTATCTAGAAGAGCTGAGATCTTTTTCCAAAAGCCGTGAACATGGCGGCCGAAATGAACAGCAATAATTTGGATTACTTAGTCTGTGGTAGAAGACAAAGATATTTTTATCTTTCAAAGTTATATTTTCACCGAGTTATTAATGTATTTATAAACATCACAGTTTCAAACCAAACATTTTGCCACATTTAGCTGTTAGCTAAATATTTAGCTTCAAAGTCAATGAGGTATTTAGTTAGCGAGCTAAATATGTAGCTTGAAGCTAAACATTTAGCTAGCATGCAAATTTCCAGCTAAATATTTTTATTGGACATTTCTGAATGTGGTGGAAATGTGACTGAAACTGAATCCTGTTCCTTTTCTGTAGGAACTAAACAATCTGAAGTTGCTGCTGTCAGTTTGTGACGTTTCAATCGGCTCCCGTCAGGTGGAGCCATCGGTTCCTCCTGGACCCGGCCGGGCTGAGCAGCAGAACCTCGGCCAGCGACCCTGGAGGTCAGGGTTCACCTGGAAGCCGACCATATACGGAGGCAAGAGGTGGAGTTTTCCTTTCAGGGATGAACTGGACCAGTGGCGCGGCGATACTGGAACGTGCTTCCATAAAGTGCATGCATGATGAGGTGTGATGAGGAAATGTCCCATCGGTTCTGACCCAAAGCCTCCATCGGACCGGTTCTGGAGGACTTTTGACCCTGTAGATCCAGAGAAGCTCAGAATAAAACATCTAAACATGGAACAGAGGCTAAAACACCATGTAGGAAAAGATTGATACAAACATCGATCGTCAGTAAAAACAGCTTTCAGCTCGTTGCTCCGTGATTCAGAAGAAATTGCATATTCCCACTCAGTTCCTCCCACTGGTCTCCACTGGTCTCCACTGGTCTCCACTGGTCTCCACTGGTCTCCACTGTCCACTCAGGTGGCGGATTGTCTCCTACATTTCCTGCAGCCGTTTGCATTTCAAAATAAAAGCCTGAAAGGTGGAGGCCCGATGGGGTGATGGGGAACTGCAGCAGAAGTTCAGAAGGATTTACGGAACGTCAGAGTCCGATGCCAGAGGTCAGGCTCCCAGTCTGACCAGTACAGCCCAGTACTGGGCTGTACTGGTCAAGAACGATGAGCAGCCATGAGCGGGACGCCACATCGGACCGGGTCGGACCGAGACACGTCTGAGTCCAAAGCAACACCAACCAAGAGGACAGAACCAGACACTGATGAGGACAGAAACAGGAGCGGACCCGGGCCCGGATCCTCCGGAACCGGCTTCCCGCTCCGGTCAGACCTGGATCCCCTGGACGGCCTGGCGGATGTTCTCCAGCAGCGCCTTGTTCTCCGGCTCTGGTACCGGTCCTGGTGGGTGTACATGTCAGTCAGAGTGCTGACGTACGAGTCAAAGTTCTGTTCGTTCATCGGTTCCTGTGGAGCAGAACAAATCCAGCAGTCAGCGCAGGCGGACGCAACGGGAAGAGCGGGAACACTGGCAGGAAAAACCCGGATCAGTGTTTCGGTCCGGATTCCTGCACATCTACCAGCAGAACCAGAACCGACCGGGAGCATGCAGAACTCAGGATGGGTCATGGAGGCCAAACAGGAAGTTCATGGACAGAATGGGGAGACGTGACAGGAAGTGAAGCTTCCAGTTGCATCCAGAACTAAAACCCAAACAAGGTTCTGGAGGAACTAGGACAGATTTGAAGCTGGAGGAGATTTAAATGGATCAGAACCGTCTGGGTTAGGAAGAATGAACAGAACTGGTGAATCCGCTCTGGTCTCTACAGAAACAGAAAATAGGATTTCTACATTTTATTTTGAAAATCTTGTTTAAAACTGCTTCCTGTTTGCAGTTTAAAAATAGAAAATAGTTTTGATTTATTCTGAGTTTAATTTTCCCAGTAGGTGCTGGCCGGATTCAGAACCCAATATGGCCGCTCTGATAGTGGAATGGAAAATATCACCATTACTGCTAAAATGGGGACAGATGTGTTCTGCTAATATCAGAACCTTCAGGTCCAGATCATCAGAACCAATCAGAACATTTTATCTGATATATTATTAAAACGGATTGCTTCAAAGACTGGAAGAAGAATCAAAATCATATTAATCATCCGTTCCAGTTTGTTCTGATTTCCTGTCAGCTCCTGCTAGTGGCGTTAGCATCTGCTAGTGGTGATAG